ATGTGTTGCTAATAATCCCAGGTTATTGTTTGTGTCTCCAGAGTCTGCTGTGGGAGTTCAGGAGGACCGGAAAAAAGTGCCATGGTCCGACAAAGAGACCATCATCCTGCTGGAGGTCTGGGGTGACCCACAGGTAGAGCAACCTACCAACCTCTCTGTTAATTCATCTAAACCCTTTGTTTTACTATTTGTATATCTTCAGATGCTTTTAAGCCATATTGAAAACATAAGTACTTGAATTTTCAGATGCAGCAGTGTCTGAGGCGCTACCCGCACAACGGACACATCTTTACGGAGGTATCGGAGAAGCTCAACGCTAACGGATACTCCCGCACCCCGGAGCAGTGCCACACCAGGATCAAACGGCTGAAAACGGCCTATCGCCAGTGTAAAGAGAACATGAGGTGAAAAGCAAATCAAATAATTTCGATTCTTTGGGTTTCTCTCAAGCTCTGCGCCTCATAAACTTGCTTTGTGTCTGCAGCTCATCTGGGACGGACCGAGTCGACTTTAAATTCTATGATCTGCTGGAACAGATTCTGGAAAAGCAGCCATCAACGTCGTCCGCCATCGTAACGGACTCTATTGAAATATCGGAAGACTCCAATGGAGAATCGGGAACAGAAAGAGGTGGGAAAATGAAAAAAATCATAACTAATGCATTGACTTTTTATGTAAAATGTGATTTTTTTTTGTATTGATTCATGATAAAATGTGTAAAATTAAAATAATTTTGTTTGTTTTTTTTCCATACTTTAGCTCTATGAGTAGTTTTATATCAAAAAAATTGCATAAACTTGTAAAATTTTTGTAAATTGTGATTTAGTTTAATTTTACTTTTTTTTACTTCAAGTTTTCATAATTCATTCGATTTTATATTAGGTTCATTTTATTCTCTTTGCTTTCATCAAGTCACCCATTCATGTTAAAACAATCTCTACCTGTTTTGCATCAGATGGAGAGACCCACGAAGTATCATCAGAAAAACCAGCATCCAGCACATGGTCAGACGAGGAGACCCTGGGTCTTATCGAGATCTGGGGTGAAGAGGACATCCAGCGAGCTCTGAGGGGCTTCATCCATAACGGGCACGTTTACGCCGAGATCTCAGAGAGGATGCATGACCTCGGCTTCTCCAGAACCTCAGAGCAATGCCGCTCCAAAGTAAAATCACTGAGAATCAACTTCCGGCAGTGCTACGACAGGAAGAAGTGAGATTTTTTCTCCTATCAGGTTCTCTTTTCCGGGATTGTACTTTACTCCAGATTCCAGACCTTTCTGGTCTTAATTTTCGAAAGTTTTAAAGTCCTTCATTTCTTCTTAAAATCCTCAGACAGAAACCTTTGCCATGGCTCTGTAGATAATATCTCTAGAGTATTTTCTTTAGCTTTGGAAGCTGGAAAAACTACAAGCAAAAGTCAGAAAACGACTTAGACTCAACTTTATTTATTATCCCTTGGGATTACTCCTTCAGATAAATTCTGGTTCTAGTAGCTTATATAAAGTACAAAGAGTTAAAGCAAGATGCAATTAAAGATAAAAATACAACAGAAAATATAAAAAGAGTTTATATAGTAAAAAAGAGGATAAAAAAGTTGTTTTGTCCTGGAATACGTTTCCTTTAGATGTAAAAATAAGAGCTAAGGAAAGACTAAACAGTAGTTGACTTGGATTATTGCACTTGTCCTGCAGAGATGTACTGACCTTATAAATAAGTAAAAAATTAAACGGACTACACAGAACTTGGCAGGTGTTAGGGTGAAGAATATTGCATGTGAGTGACAATAGGTAATGTCTTGTAATAGATGTCCAAAGAGGGAGGTACTGACCCTTGTACCTCTTCTTAGGACAGAAAAAGGAAAAGCATTAAAGAAACGGAGGGAATTAAAACACACAAAATATGGAAATAAATGACTTAAGGGAGGTAGAATAGCGCAGACATGAATGGATAGGATAGAAGAAATGGAAGAAGGATACAAGGATTTAATAGAAGGGGCAACAAGCTGGGGGGGAAAAGAAAATAAGGGGAAAATGTAAAGGATGGCCAAAGGAAAGAAGGAGGAAGGAACTTTTCTACAGTAAATCTAAATGCATCTAGATCTAGAATAATGTTTTCTAGGCTGCAAGGAAATATAATCATCCTATATATCTAAAGCTAAATAATGTCCCTCTTATAGGAGCGGAAGAAAAACAGATTACAAGTTTTATCATCAGCTGGAACAAATCCTGGGACCGGAGGCCATAAACATTGATGAGTATGATGACCGGGAAGAACACGCTGAAATGGATCCAGGTACCATTTCTAAACATCCGCACTTTCTCTTTTCTTCAGAACAGCTTTAATGTTCCTTGTCTTTGGATCGCTTGTCTGCAGGAGGTGCAGATGAACAGACAAACACGGCGTGGACCGAGGAGGAGACGGTCGCTCTCGTGGAGGTGTGGGCCGCTGACGACGTGCAGCACAGCCTGAAGACCTCCATGCGTAACGGGCACGTGTACGCCGACATATCCGAGAAGCTGGCCTCCCTCGGCTACCTGAGGACGGCGGAGCAGTGCCAGCTGAGGATCAAGAGGCTGAAGAAGACCTATAGGCGCTTCTGCAACAATCGGAGGTACGCCAATCAGTCGTGGTTTTTAACTACATGTTTTAATTTTCCCACTTTTTAAAAGGAATTCATGTTTTCCAGAAACGGAGGGAGGCCAACAGTGTTTCGGTACTTCAACCTACTTGCTCCGGTGCTTGGTGATGATTTGGCGTTTTCCAGTGTAGACGGTTCTACAGCCGATACCTTAGGACCTCTAACGGACCACGATCCTGTCATGTGTACGTATAAACACGAGGAAATATTCCTGTTGGAATATTACATACAGTAGTGACTCATTTTTTCCCATTTTAGACGATCAACCCTCAACCAGCCACCTCCTGACAGACATGAGCAGAAAGACACCCTGGTCTGATCAGGAAACCCGCACCCTGTTGGAGATCTGGGGCGAGGACAGCGTCCAGCTCACCTTGAGGGGATGTCTGAAGAACCGACACGTGTTTGAGTACATCTCTGAGAAGCTAAGCAACCACGGCTTCATAAGGACCACCGAGCAGTGCTACACCCGCATGAAGCGCCTTAAATACAGCTTCGTCCATGAAAAGTGAGTCACGACGAAACAATAACCACGTGCTAATCCTTTGATGGGTATTTTATTCCATCAATAACCGTTTAAAATAAAACTTTTCTATTGAATCCAGGGAAGAATTCAAATTCTTCAATGAAATGGACAAGGTTTTCAGAAAGGAGATAAACATGGACGAGTCTGTTGTCAACCCGTTTATTGTAGATGAATCAGATGACTTCACACCTGAAGTCCACCAAATGAAAGGTAAGACTTTAAGGTATTAATGATAATAAGGGTTTAATATTTTGTGAGAAGCAGTTTTTCTATTTCACAGAAGGTTAATCTACTGTTTTCAGTCAAATATGAGATGTTTTAGTAAGGTAACGCATTATCGATATGGTCTTATCAACGTGTTGTCTTCTTACCCAGTAGCTTCTGGTAACCACTGGCTGGCCGACAGCTCTAAGATGGCCTGGGGGGACAGCGAGACTGAGGCCCTGCTGGAAATCTGGGGCAGTGCAGAGATCCAGGAGAACCTGAAGGGCGGCAACAAGAACAAAAGCATCTATAAGCAGATCTCTCAGGTCATGGCCAGCCAGGGCTACCTGCGCTCTCCTGAACAGTGTCAGTCCAGGGTAAAGAGGCTGAGAGCCAACTTCCGACAATTCCTGGAGGGACGACAGTAAGCGCAGCTAAAATCCACAACACTTATCCTCTGAGCGTCTTTTACTCTTCATAACTGGTGCTTCCTTTCTTGTTTTCAGAGGGGATAAACAGGAGTGCAAGTTTTTTGAGAAGTTGGTTCAGATTTTCGGCACCAAGTACGTGATGAGCTCCGATTCGTTGGCTGATGATACGCCTGAAGTCATAGGTACCACTCATGCACATTGCCTTTATAGCATTGCTTTACATCCAGCAGCTTTTTAAAATATCTTCTGGTTTTCGTCTGTTGCAGAGTCTTAAAATCCTTCCTCTCCATGGTGACGATGCAGCAGCTGCAGAGGAACTGAGACACTAAAGCTGAAGTCTTCACTGCTACCACAGAAAAGCTCTCTGTAGATACTTTAAATACTTTGACATTCTTTAGAGGCAGACCTTGTTCAGGCTGACATCGTCTGTAGGTGTGTATGTGTGTATGTATGTGTGCGTGTCCCTCCTCTTGAGTGTCTTGTGATGAATAAAAACCAGAGCCATGACACGAGGCGCTCAGGACTCGGAGGGGAAGGCGGACGCAGCGCTCCTCTGTGAGAACAAGTTTTTTGTAGTTATTCATTTTTACTTGAACCTAAAGAGACTGAATCGAAGCACACGTGAGTTAAAGACACAGCGCAGCCCTTACTGTTACCACAGACTTGCTTTTTAATCTCGGTCTTCATCCCGTTGCATCGCCCTACACTTGTTTATCCAGTCCTATCGTCCAATGTGCTTACAATGAAAAATATCCAAGTCTCCTCTTCTGTACCCAGTGTGAGTTAACTTTGTCCAGAATTTTATTTATTTAACTTATATATGTATTTTATAGTTTTCCAGTTCGTGTCGCCAAACCTTATTGCAGTAAATTTGTGCCACAAATTGTCAACGTTTTTTCATATCCATTAAAAGCAAACATGTATTGCCTGATTGTGGGTTCATTGTGCGAGTTGATCTCTTTATTCAGGGTTACTGTCCAATTAGGAAAACTGTAAAACCTTACTTAAAGTTGTATTAGGTTTATATAAATATTTCTTCACTCTTTTTCATGTATTTTGTTTTCTAATTGATGTATTTATCACTCTGTTTACCATCCAATTTTCCTCTTTTCCTTCAGGTCCTTTTGTTTTTAATAGATTTTAGCCGCCATTACATCAAACAGGAAACAGACCCTTACGCTCCGCATAGTGAGCACCTGCTCTATCCGTGGACCATTCTTCCTCCTCTTTTCATTATTTTTTGTCTAATTTAATGTTTTCTTCGGATTCTTTCATAATTTAATTCACCCATTTCATTCCCTGCATTTTTTTCTCCTTTTTTATCTCAGTGTTTATTAATATCGAACTAAAACACTTTATTTTTTTCCTCTAAGGTGGTGATGCTAGTTAGCAGAAATGATCCCTTGTAGTGGTTTGTGCTACATTAGGTCTAAGGAGCGTCTGACTGAACTCCTTGTTTTTTTTATTAGCATTCTGGGACGAGGGTGTTTAGGAACTCTACCAAAATCAGAACCAGCTTTCTTTGTCAGCCTGTCTCTGGCTTTTCTCCTGCTTCTCCAGCAGATGACGTCAGAACAGATTATAATCTCTTTAGCGCTTTCCTGCTGCCTCTCCAATGGAGCCTGTTGTCCAGGTGAACACTGATCTCCACCTCCTGATGGAAACGATGTTTGAAATTTATCATCATCCCTATTGATGCTTCACATTCAAGATGAGGTGATTGTTCCCACACAATGCCACAGTGTATTATTACACCTGAAACTACACTTATCAGCTCTTAAATAAATGGTATTTTGCAAAAACATGATGCAGAGTGAAACCATGAAACATTAAAATAATCTATTTAGATATTTAAGGTGTATGCATTTGGTAAAGTTAAAGGGAGTCTATTTATTTACTAACTCTTGCTTGCCTTTTATTTTATCTTTAATTTTTCCAACCTGGCACTTTTGCAGATGGATATTAGAGCTTTATTTCGGTGCACAGGGTGGAACAACTGTGCATGAGATGCAAAAAGAAAGGTGAAACTATTACTTTTAGTGGCAGATGTAGTAGGAATATAAAATACCAATGGTTGCATCATAAAATCATTTTATCTGCAGGCAGCGAAGATAGCGTCCCATATCCTGCTGCTGATTCTGCAGGTCAAGCTTAGAGTCTGAAGACCTGCTGAGCTGAGCTTAGTGGAAGGTAGGTGGACTCTCTAAAATAGGTGAAAGAAATGTATTCATCAAAGCCATACATGTATAAAAAATGTAGACCGCCTTGCAAAAGTGTTGATAAATTTTTTTTTAAAGGAACATAACTACTTTCCAAAACATATTTTTTTCCCTTAGCAGTTCCGCCACATTGTTGTTCTGTTTTGTCATCCATTGGCCATTAGCACTTTCCAGCAGGAAGCAGCTGGTTGTAACATCTGTGATGCGTTAACAGACAAATGAGTTAAAGCCAATAAAATTACCCAAATCATTTGTTTTTCTCTTGCATATAATCTAGATTAATAAGCCCAAACTTTAGGAAGCAGCAGAGAGGAACTATAGAAAGCTGTCAAATTAATGGCATGATATCACTTCCACTGTTCCTTTGTTTTTAATGTCTAGGCAACTTCAAATAGAAACAGGATCATTTACATCTATGGTAAACTCATCTGTGCTATAGTTGCAAAGAATAAATGAACGTATAGGCTGCCAATTGCTGAGGAGGGGAGCTGCATGACCTCAAACTCCAACATAAAATAATTATAAAATATTGAAACTAAACAAATTTCTATGATTTTAGCCACAGACACAATCCTATTTTTTAAACAGGATTGGATGGATCTCCCATCTTTGTCTACTGGATCTTATAAAAATAAATTAGCTAACTTTCTAAAGCAGCACTAAATGATTTTAAATTAGTTTTTAGTTTCTCTGTATTAAAACTGACGATGTGTGCATGTTAACCTTTATAACATTTCCTTTTTTATGCATAATGTGGGTCTCATGAGTAATCCCACTTTGTCTTTTTGCTTTATATTAGTTAAACATTTATTTAAATAATGAGGAAAAATTATGTTAAATGTTTACTTGCCTGACTAAGTATACTAAGTATTTGAAAAGCAATATTTAGAAATTTCGTGTTAAATCACGCTTGGATGAAGGGATATTTTGGATGCATGTGTGTAGATTTAAGGTAGAAAAAAATCCTTTTGAACCAAAAAAAAATATATAATCTGAAGTAAAAATATTGCCTTATTAAACATTATATGAAGACTGTTGTGTTAATTAAAATGTAACTAAATTTTAAAAGGTAAACCAGGGAAAGCAGGGAAATAAATAGGTTACTTTTGCATCAAGTGGTGCATCAAAGGGTATAGTTACACTTTACTTAGAAATATTTTTTCCTTTTGATCTGAAGCTGGCATCTATCCTGTTTGGGTTTCTTGAAGCTGCTGTTTCACTCATTAACAAGGGAGTTGAAAGGTCCAATCAGATGCTAGCTTCAGTATCCTTTTCCTTTTTTTTATTTTATTGGTTTTCTGTTTGCTGATCTCTTCTAATTATATTTTCTAACAATATTTTTAACTTTTCATTTTTTATTAGTTTTCATCTGTTGCATAAGAGGATTTTAACAAATTTTGAGCTCAGGGATTAAACATAAAAGAAAATCTCATATTGGCCACTAAGTGGTGCAAATGGACAATGAAAAAAAAAAAAGCTGACATAACCTCGCTTTAAAGTGCTCTAGAAGCATTGTGGTCAATATTCTAATTGATTGGTAAAGGTCTGAGAGTCTGGACTGTAACAGGAGCAGGGACTCGATGCTCCACCGCCCAGGCAGTAAACCTGCTACATGCTGACATTTAAAGTATATTTAGATTGGCAACTTCACACAGACACACACTCACAAATACATAGTTTGCAGAAGTTAAAGCAGTAATTACAGGTCTAAATCTGACAGTGCATCTAACCGCCACTGCCTGGCAGCAGCCCAGAATATGTGAGTGTGCACTGGTGCTGTGAAGACACAAGCATGGCTGCAACACAACGTGGAAACACGATCACTCTGTTTTGGGGTAATATACTAGTCCTCATAAACATGTCACCCACAACGGTAGCTTTTGTAGTTTGACAATATTTTGCCCTCTTAAGTTAATCGAGATTTTACTGTAGTACTGTGAGTTTTGTTTTTGACATAACTGAGGAGGAAGAGTTCACAGATGCCTTTCACACACTCAAAAGGATACTTAACTGGGTTCTGTTTGGAGAGGGGTGTCATGGAGAGATGGCAACTCTCAATATATCCTCATTTATAAAAGATGATTTTAAGGTCAAACAATCTAATTGGCCATTATATGCAAACAAATAAAGGAATGCAAGGAGAATTTCTGTATGATTCCTTACATAAACACCTTGGATGGATCCGATTTCTCTTTTTCCTACATAAACATTTTCTTAAAATTGACTACAGTGCTTCTTTGATGTAATGAACTTAAAGGGAAATAATTAAATAAATAGCTGCAAGAGAAAAAAAAAACACCCACCCTGTGGAACTCTGCTGAACGTTAAGCAGGTCAGGAAAATAGATGGATGGAGAATTAAGTACCGTAGACAAGCTATGCTCCACTGAAAATATAAAATCTCACAATAAAGATGCTTCTTAAAGCTAAAGCTGAACCAATATGTGAATAGAAATGTCCTGAGACCATCCAGACAGAATATTCTGAAGGTAAAGAGATGTCTGCAGGATAATGAATTAATATGAATCCCTTAAGATGCAAAATAATGTATCAGAATAATCTGAAGGCAAAGAGATGTCTGCAGGATAATAAATTAATATAAATCCCTTAAGATGCAATATAATGTATCATTCCTACAAGGCATGGTTTTGGAAAAGTACATAAGCTTACAAGGTCTAGCAGGACGGAAGCACCTTTACCTCAATTTCATACAATAACAACATGGCACACTGTTGCGGTTTCTTTTAGGGTGGAAGGACTTGACAGATGACATTTCTCTGGAAAGAGTGACGGAAAACCTGCCGAGAGGCAGTTGAACGAGTCACTTAATGATCCAGAAGATCCCTCCATCGCAGTAATAAAACAAAGCCACTTAGCTGTGGCAGTGATTGGCTGCTTGGTTGATTGAATTAAGGGTGATTGATGAATAATGGATTGATTGGCTCCTAACAAAAACGTGTAATCAAACAAATCACGAGTATCCTGGAATATTGGATGAGATTAAAGCAACTTGAAGCCATTTTCCACCTTTGATTAAACAGGGTTCATAAAAGGTGTATAAATTCAGACAAATCTCCTGTCAGATGTAAGTATTGAACAAATGTTTGGTATTCATTTGTGACTAGTAAAAACTGCACAAAGAGCAAATATTGATAGAATAAAGGAAAATTATGTTTAATTTCCCAATGAAACACATTTCAACATCATGATTGTGATGTTAGGGTGAGTTTATAAACTGTTTGTGAAACCCTATAGTTGCCTCATAGTGATTTTAAACTGTTGCTCTACAGCTTTAGTGTGTTACTAATGACATGTATTAATAATGCCCTGCACTCTTAACAGTACATGACTTATTTCTAAAAACTTCTAATAAACAGGGGCATGGTGTGGTTGTGTAATGTAGCTCTTCTTTTTAATTGCCCCGAGGCCAAACTTTTCCACACTAAAGCATGAATGTGTCTGTGTGCAGACTAGATATTCCTATTTCACCCTGGTTTCGAACATGCATCATCATGCTTCTCGCTCCCCTGCAAAAGAGCAGAACACAAGGAAATCGAGACCTTCGGTGGAGACTGAGCCTTAAGAGCATGAGGAGGAGGATTTTATTTGTGTATCTGAGGGAGCCTCCCTACCTTCAGGATTATGCATGGGCTTGTTACAGCAACATTCCTTAACTCAGCTGCTTCTGTAGAGCACATTCCAGAAAGACGGGGGGAGAAAAGGGAAAAAGAGGAGGAACTGATAAACGAAGGGAAGAAAAAGAATGAAGAATAAGACATAATGTGCTTTGTTTAAAGTTAAAGGAGACAGCAGTGGTGAACAGAGAGAGGAAATAGCTCAAAGAGGGGGAGGGGAATAATAATATGATATGTAAATGATCCCTGCTGTGAAATGGTGAACCTCTGGCCCTCCTATTCCCACATGGGGATCGAAGGTCAGTGTCACAGGCAGTATGAAGCAACCAGAGCCGGCATTTAGAGAAGAAGAAAAAAAAAAAGGTCACAAGGTCATTTTTGTACAGCTATTAAAGAAAACACTCAATACAGTAGACTAACAGAGTATTTGAAGCTTTTATTCATTAGCATACAAGATGCAACCTGAAAAAGCAAATTGTCTCTATTGTTAGTGAGGCTAGATACATAAGAGTTTTCAGAAAATACAGTTTGCAAATCACGACAAAACTACCTGTGCAGCTGCCCTTATCAAAAATGTGATTTAATGAAAGTTTATATCAGTTTCAGTGGCCACACTTTGACCATTTATTACTGCCAGACTTGTAGAAAAGGAGGCAATTAGAGCAACATCTCATGTCCCGATCCGAAGACATTCAAGACAGGATGAGGAACAAAATCATTGAATTCTATGGGTTTGGAAGTGGTTGCACAGCAAATTTCCGAGGGTTTGAAACGCTCTGTAAACTATAGTGCATGCATAGATAACACGAACAGTGATGAAACTTTCTTTGAGTGACCATCATAAAGAATTGCTGCAAAATCATATCAATAACTCATTCACGAGTTTTAAAGCGCTGGGAGCCTCAGTTTTTTTAATCAGTTTCATCATTCAGTCATTGATTATAAAGCCGAAGAAACTTTTTGGAAAAGTTTATTTTTTTAAGAATAAAAGTTCAAACCTATTACTCAATTTCATGGAGCAGTACTAGTACCCCTAGTGGTCTGTGACTGCATTGCAATGGATACATGAAAATATGTATTTCTTAGGTAGTAAAATAAAATAGGGCTTTGTAAGGACCCAATTGCAAAATTTAATAAACTTTTATAAACCAAAAACGAATTTTTTCTTATATGTTTGAGTTCGCCTTCAGCTTTGACACACATCAAAACCAAGCAGAGGAACAGACTGGATGTAGAGAACAGCCTGGGATCAGCTGGTTTTCACACTGAGCTATCAGAGCTCTTCAAAACAGCTCAGTTGTCTTGATGAAAACAAT